AGTAATCTACTATTCTTTCGGTGTCTATATACATTATATCGGGAATTATTTTGGACCCATCTTTACCATCCGCTGGTTCTCTCATTAAGTTACATGAGAGCCATTTAGGAAAATTATGCCTGGACAACATCCGTAGTGTGTGCTTGGACAAGTACACATCTCTGAATCAGTGGCTGGTTCCCCTCATAAAAATATGAGTACACCTCTTTCTCCTAAACTAGTTCTGCATTTGCAGAGAACCCCTGAGTTCCTAGGAAGAACTTATATTTGGGGAAAGCCCAGGGTCTTGACTCAGCTTCTGATTTATCCTTTCTTTTCTGTTGGAGGTCAACAGGGTCTCGCGGAGGTTCTCCTTCCCAGTCACCACTAACCTCACCTTCCTCCCTGGGAGCTTCCTCTTCATTCAAATGATGAAGTCAAAGCATGTTTACCATCCAACCTTCTGCCTGCTTTCCTCTCCCCAGCTCAGCAATGAGCACCCCAAACAATGTTGAAATACTTTTAATAAAAACATATTCAATGGTTAGAAAAAAACAAGCAAAGGGCAAATGACAGTGTTCAAATCCTTGAAAACCACCTGTCAGGTTTGCCCCCCCTCCCCCACCTCAGTCTTCGTTCTGCATTCAAGCGTAAATGGGCCAGCTCTGCTCTCAGCTAACCTCCTTCTGTTATCAAACTCGTGAAATTTCCTTTGGGAGTTTCAAATCACCCCTTCCAGCACCGCTCTTTTATTCCTAGGGGTTGCGTTATCAAGCCCTCTACCCATTTTGAGAAAGGTGTTAACTAGCCAACCATTCAGTGGCCCCAAACCTAGGAGGATCTTTTTACATCTGAAGGAAGCTCTAATCTGGTGTCTCTAACCTTGCGGTCCAGCCACCTGGCTTGGCCTCTGCTCTCCCCGGGAAAAGTCAGCTGAGGTCACTGCCTAACAGAACCCAGGCTCCATGGAGGTTGAATGGAGGTTTTCAACTGAGAATTGTGGGAGGAGGTGCGTGTGCATTTTACCATGCTGACATTGGGGTGAGATGTGAGGGGAAGGGAGCAGGTCAGTGCTTTTGAAAAGGCATAAACCTCAGAGTAATTTTATACTGGGAATAATTTCTTAAATTAAGTCTTTAGTGTAGAAATTACAGAGAAAGAAGCATGACTGGCTGTCAGATGCTGAAAATGCAGCACTAGTCTATGCCGGGATGCGGGGGGAAGCGGAATCACTGGAATCTCCTGGGGATAGGAGATTTCTGTCTGTATCCAGAAGGACATGAATTGTTTACATAGCTGAGAAATGTTGTGGCATTTCTGAATAAAGCCTTGGTACAGTTCAAATCCATCTACTGCTCCAGATTCAAACTGGGATTTCAAGTAGCCTAACCTACAATTTTCCAACCCAGAAAAGTCCGTTGCAATGTGCAAAATTTCTAAGCTGTAGTCAAATTCTCTCTGGAAGGTTTTGTTTGCTTTTTTTTAAACTACAAAATTGGAAATAGTATATGTGACACATTACACTCTCAGATACATTCTGACAAGTAATAAACTAATAGTTATAATGGCCCCCGAACCATTTGGATGAAATGTGGTTTGAATCAGTGAGTATGCGTATACGTACACAATATTATAAGGAAAAATTTATGACAACACACTGAGTGGTGAAAGATTGGTTCAGGGAACATAAATCACAAGAGAGTCAAGAGTAATAGGTTTCCCTGAGGGGTTTTTCAAGGAATTAACATTGATTTGGGTCCTGAAACTCTAAATTTGAATTTATCACCCATTCTTCAACAAATATTGCAGGTATTTGTAAGACAGCACTATCGAAATGAAATTCAAAGAAAGAAATGGGTTTGGCGGTTAGAAGTATCACAGGCTTCTGTGACTCTGCTGAGCTGATTTTTGCTTTAAACTCAGCTTGTCCTCATAGCATCAAGAATCTGACCTCAGATCAATTTAAAAAAGAATCGTTTTTACTAAATGTCATGATTCTTTGAAATGTAAAAAGAAATCTCATATGGAGAACTCAACTAGGAAAAAGAACTGAGCAGGACACAGCTTAACAACTAGAAAAATTCTTCACCTTGCCTTCTTCACTCTGTTTCCGCTTCCAACAAGATAGGCATGAAGTGACCATTTCCTAGGACCTGACGTCAAATCCACTCTAAATATCAAGACGTCTGTGTCTTTATAGACTCACTGATCAGTTTAAATTGCTACTTAGGATTCATCCATTCCATCATTCTCAAGGATGAAGTTAGTTACAGGAAATAATTACAGGTAGTTTATTGTTTATAATGAGCTAATGAGGAATAACTCATTTAAACATGCTGGGATTTAAATACATTGTAATGATTTTCCTTATCAGAAATCAAATTATGTATATTACATATATTTTAATTATATGTATTATATATATATTTATATATATGTTTTTTTAACTATAAGCCGAATGAATGACATTTAGCACTGGCTCTGTCCCTTCCTTGTTGTGGTCTATTTACTGGACTTTTCTATGGCCTTATCCTTATAAAATGGGAATAACAATAGTAATTTCCTCCTAGAATTGGTGAGAGAAGTATATAAAATAATATGAGTATCAAAACCACATGCTTCACACATAATAAGGATCCATGGCTGTTACAATTTTCATGGCTAACAAATTCACATGACTGATAAAGTATGATTGAAACATTGCCTTTAATCCACATTTTGATCTCCCTCTTCTTTCTAGTTGTATTTTATTTGATGTACAATGTAGCCAGCATATTTATACTATATTTAGATCTATGTCATAAAATAAGCTGTTACATATTTTGTTAGGGGCTTAAAGGGGTAAATGTTAAAATTATTCAACCTCTTTATAATGAGAGAGGAGGAATAATGTCTGTTGAACAAATGTATTATTTTATCTTTTTTTTGTTATTGTATTATTTTTAGAATAAAAGAATTTTAATCTAAAACGGAACTAGAGAATGGAAAATGGAAAATCCCAATTATGTGCCCTCAGGGACACAAAACATAAGGACCGATTTCCTGTAAATTCCTGACTTACAGAAAATTGATAATACTGGCCTTTACTTAAACGATAGGGAGTTGGCCAGAGGTTACCTCATATTAACCTTGGGAAATTTTGCTTATGGTTTCCGGAGACATGAACAAGAAATGACCCAGATCGGGTTGATATTGCAAAATAAGCTGAATTGAGTGTTGTTGGTATGCCTGGACTGTATTTGTTTGCTCAGGAAAATTTCAAAGCTGGTCTTTGCTTGCTTTTTATTTTAACAGGCTCTATCTAACTGAACTCTCCCCTCTTTATATTCCCTGCCCATAAATACAGCCTACCCCAAACCTTGAACAGACTGCCTATAGCTTGCTACAGTTTGCATTTCCTGAATTGAAATTCTCTGCTATTCCTGAATAAACTCATACTTTTGATAATTTTGAGCTTGCCTCAGTTTACCTCTTTATTTAGATTGACAATGAACAGTACTCAACTTTGGAAGGGTTGGTGGGAATAATGCCATCTGGAAAGTACACAATAGAGGCAGCAAGCTTCCTTCAACAAAAAAGTCCTAAACTGTCAGTTCCTGGTGTTCTTGCATGGCCAAATGACTCTTAATTTCCTAAAATTAGTCTAAGAATACTCTATAAGAACAAATTGAATAAACAGACTCACATGATTTAATGTCTGCTTTGCTAATGAATCAGCCACGTTTGGCCAGCCTTGCTGTCTTCACATTTTTCTGTGTTTATCCTTAAGCTTAGCAACCAACCAAACATTGAGTAGAAAGCAACGTGTAAGAGTAAAACTATTATGAATTTACTAATTGTTCTAGAGAGAGACTGAGTTTGTATGGTTTACATTTTTGTACTTTCTGTTGTACTTATATTCTGAATGCCTGACATTTTGGCTTTCTTTTGCTATTCACAAGTTTTCAAATACCGGTAAAATGTGTCTTTAGTTCACATAAGAGATTGTTATGTTAAGTGTTTGTGAACATACAAATGTAAGAACATGAGAGCAATTTTATTAAAGAATCAAATATGAACAAATATGTAAACAGAACATTTGGTTTCCTATGGCAGTGACACACAGCTCCACCTCCCATGCAAATAGTTTTCTTTTGACCAAATAGCTATAAACCTGTTTATTGACATACAAATGTTTTAAGTTGCAAAAATAGTGCCGACTTTTACTGAAAGACAATTTTCAACAGGTTCTATTTTTATGCCATTTAAAAATTATGAATGTCATACATTTATAATCACAGAATGAGTTTTTGTTTTGTTTTATCTTGGAAAGGTAAAACAAATCCATTTTACACGCACTAATCTAATTAAAAAATAGTTTTGTTTCATTCAGGCCTCGAAGTGGACCTGGCAAGGAAAAAACGCTGTGTTTTTGCATCAGCTCGGGGTTCTGAGTAACTGTCTCTTCTGCCAAGGAGAGCCTTTGGGTTGGCAGGGTCTTTGAGATTATTTTATACCCTCATTGTACAGATAAAGAGCCTGAGGCCTGGCGAGAGGAAGTGACTTGCGTAAGGTCCAAGGCTCTCCAGATACCCGGTCTAGGATCTTCCCTGCTTTCTACATGCAATTCCCGTTTTCTTTAGGGTCTCATAAAAATAATTTACAGTTTTTTTGAAAGATGACTGCAGAAACGCAGGGCTTATGAGAGATTTTCCTCCCTTTCCAACTCCGTTTTCTTTTCCTTTTCTTACTTTGCGTGGACAGCACCCCGCGGAGCCGGGCAGGGGTCAGCTGCTTCTACGGGACAGGCGGGTGGTGGCTCCCGCTGACCCCCTTCCGCGGCCTCCGATCCTGGCCTGGCCGAGGCCCAGGCTCCTGGGCCGCGTGATGCAGCCCAAAAAGGTGCCGCCTGGCACGTGTCCCCGCCGGCGCCCGGGCCTCTGGCGTCCAGGCCTTGAGCGCCGCTGTCCAATCGCCGCGGCCGCCTCGTGCTCGGGCCGCGTCTGCCGCCCCGGGACGCCGGGCACCGGGAGCCGCGCCACCCGCCGCCATGCGATTCCGGTTCGGGGTGGTGGTGCCGCCCGCGGCGGCCGGGGCCGGGCAGGAGCTGCTGATCGCGGGCTCGCGGCCGGAGCTGGGGCGCTGGGAGCCGCGCGGGGCGGTGCGCATGAGGCCCGCGGGCACGGCGGCGGGCGCGGGGGCGCCGGCGCTGCAGGAGCCCGGCCTGTGGCTCGGGGAGGTGGAGCTGGCGCCGGAGGAGGCGGCGCAGGACGGGGCGGAGCCGGACCGCGTGGACACGTTCTGGTACAAGTTCCTGAAGAGGCATCCCGGAGGGGAACTCTGCTGGGAAGGTACGGGGACGGGCGCCCGCCCGAGCGCACAGCGGGGACCCCGGCCCGGCCCGGCCGCCGGCGGCCCCCGGTCCCTGCAGCGATCCTTCCGGGCGCTGTGCCCAGCTCCTGACTTTTCGAAAGCCGCACCCCTGTCTGCTGGCCAAACCACCGCCAGCCTCGACGCCGGCTCCGAGCCCCTACATGTTTGCTGTGCCCTCGTCAGCTTCCGCTCTTGGTCCTTGAGCCTCTGTCCCGCATACCCAGTGCCCAGCTCATGTCCAGTTCATTCCCCAGGTCTGCCGGCAACGCAGGCCGCTGCCCCGTCCCAGACACCCAGGGCCCGCCTCGTCCTCCCCTGTGCCCGTCCCTGGACTGCCTGGGCCCACTGCTCCTGGCTCACTCCTCAGCTCTGCCTGGTTCTTGTGACCTCGTTTTCTTGCCTGGTTCCCTAAAAACGTGACCCAGCCAGTGAAGCAGGCCATTTGCTAATCCTAGACTGCTACGTGCCAGTTACAGTATGACCCACCCCCGCCCCACATTTGAGTTCTACTCTTTTGGGATTACTTTTATCCCAAGTATATGACAGTTGAGGCATGCTCTGATTTTTTAAAATATAAAAATAATAATACTGGTTGTAAAAAAAATTATAATAAATCAACAAGGTAAAAAAACTGTTTCCTCCCCACATCTTAAGCCCACTCACTGCCCAATATACGTATGTCTATATGTCTACGTAAGCTTTTAGGGTCATTCTATATAGGTAGAGCTCTTTTTTTTTTTTTTTTCCCGGTACGTGCCCCTAGCAGGAACCAAACCCGGGACTCTCTGGTCCGCAGGCTGATGCTCCAACCGCTGAGCCAAACCGGCCAGGGCGAGCTCGTTTTTTTTTTTAATGTCACCAAAATATTTTGCATGTGTCAATGTGCATTTAAGTGGTTTTTGTTTTCCTCTGTTATAAACAGTAAGAGCCTAGTTGTAAACCTGTATACAGAGTTACTGTTGAGCATTTGGAAGTGTTTCTGGAGGGTAGATTCTGGGAAATGAAATAATTAGGTCAAAGTATGGCCCTATTTTACATTTCAACGAGGACTGCCAGATTATACCCTGACAAGGTTACACCATCCTAGACTCCTGCTGGTGATGTGAATTTAGACGGCCCTTTTTTCACATGAGGTGTGTGAGGTGAAGGATTGGAGTGTGTAATCCGAAATGGTTGTCCAAAGCCAGTGAAATGAAGGTCTCTTTAGAAGTTTATAAAAAACAGATAGGCCATTTAGACCATAATGATGTGGAAACAAAGAACCAGCAAAGATGAGAATTCTGTAATATGGCATGTGTTGTCCTTGTGCCTCTCTTTGTACCCCACTGGGTTACATGGTCCAGTAGCACTTATTGTCCTTTTGTATTTTCATGCCAGAAGTGACAGTCACCCTCTTCAGTTTTTTGTCCTTCTTTACAGTGTGGTATTATTATTAATAGTAGTATATACTTATTTTTTATAATAAAATATGACACTTTAATACAAATTAAAATGGTTAAAAACAAAGGTCTTTCCAGTCCCCCTCCTTTTCTGTTTTTAGCTTTTCTGACATTCCTCCAAGTTTTGAATAATGTGCTTATATTGTTATTTCTTAAAGTAGCAGGTTGAACTTTTCGGCTTTTAGATTTTTTCCAAGTTATCATATAAATTATATATATTTTATTAAAATTAGATAATATCTTGTAATAGCTGCTGTATACCTATAAAATCATGATACTTTCTATGAAATATGAAGAATTTAGCTGTTCATGATCTCTCTCCCCCTGCTAATTTTTATATTATTTTAAATTATATATACATTTTACACATATTTATTATATTATATATAACATATATTTTTAAGTTTTATATAAGTTATATAAAGTGTTTTATAGTTGTTACTATGCCTTTCTATTTTAGATTCATAGGTTGATTCTAAGAACTGTACGCTAACTAATGAGAAGGTGTAGCCAGTGTTTAGGAGCAACTACTCTAGAGCCAGAGTGCTGGGGTTCACTAACCAGTGTGACCTTGGACAAGTCACTTATCTTCACTGTGCTGTTGTTGAAAGGACTAAACTGTCTAATAAATTTAAAGGAATTAGAATAGTACTCTGGCTGGTTTGGCTCAACAGTTAGAGTGTTGGCCTGCCAACAGAATGGTCTTGGGTTCAGTTTCAGTCAAGGACATGTACCTAGGTTACAGTTTTGGTCCCTGGCCCAGTTGGGGTCATGTGGGAGACAACCAATGGATGTGTCTCTCTCCCATCAATGTTTCTCTTTCCCTCCCACTCTACCTAAAAATCAATAGAAAAATATCCTCCAGGGAGGATTAACAACAACAACAACAACAAAAAATAAAAGACTTAGAATAGGATGTCTATTAAATGTTAGTTGTTATTTTTACTATTATGATTAGGAAATACTGCAGAACCAAGTGGTTCAAATAGACTCATAGAAAAGGAAATATAATTCTGTGACACAGAAGCTATGTCACCAGAACAAAAAAAAAATCTTTTTTTAAAACACTATAAATAATGCTCAAATTTTACCTGAGATGAAACCAGAATTTGTTTTAATTAAAATTGGATGGTAATGTTCTTCTACAACTTGTTTTGAAAATTCTATATATTTTTTTAAACAGGAAAAGCACACTGATCTCCAAAATTTCCTAGCTTGATTACACTATTAAATGAATACAAACTGCATACTTTTTGAAAACATTGTTTTCCTTAAAGGTTGGGGATATTGTCAATAATTATATATATATATTTATATACTTATAAAGAAATTATAAATTATATTCTGTGAGAGTATCTTTCATTCTGAAGATTATTAACTCTTTAATTATAGTCTGCCACTAAATTTTGTCCCCTAGCAACAGGATCAGGCTTTGTAGTCTTAGATTTTACTGGCCATAACTTCAATGTTTACGTTATAATTTTTTTTTTTAAACTCATCTTTATTGTTGAATGTATTACAGATGTTCCTCCCTTTTTTCCCCATTGACCCCCTCCTCCCCAATCCTGCCCCCCTCCTGCCTTCCCCACACTATTCTCAGTGTCCACTGGCTACACGTATATGCATAGAAGTTCTTTGGTTTATCTCATTCGGCCCTCCCTCCCCCCTTCCCTTTGAAGTTCATCAGTCTAACAACCAATTTGTACTTCTTAATTCCTTCATCTTTTTCACCCATTCTCCTAGCCTCCACCCATCTGGCAAGAAACAGAAAGTTCTCTGTATCTATGAGTCTGTTTCTGGTCTGCTTGCTCATTTTGTTTGCAGATTCAATTGTTGATAGATATGTATTAACTGACATTTTATTGTGCATATTTTTGTTCTTCTCCTTCAAAAAGACCCTTCACCATTTCATATAATACTGGTTTGGTGGTGATAAACTCCTTTAGCTTTTTCTTGTCTGGGAAATTCTTGATATGTTCATCGATTCTAAATGATAGCTTTGCATGATAGAGTAATCTTGGTTGTAGGCCATTGCTTTTCATCACCTTGAATATCTCTTACCATTCCTTTCTGGCCTGCAAAGTTTCTTTTGAGAAATCCGCTGACAGTCTTATAGGAGCTCCTTTGTAGGTAACAGACTGCTTTTCTTTTGTTGCTCTTAAGAGTCTCTGTTTGTATTTAACCTTTGGCATTTTGATGATGATGTGTCTTGGTGTGGACCTCTTTGGGTTCAACTTGTTTGGAACTCTCTGTGCTTCTTGGACTTGTATGTCTGTTTCCTTCACCAAGTTAGGGAAGTTATCTGTCATCATTTTTTCAAATAGGTTTTCAATTTTTTGCTCTTTCTCTCTTCTCCTTCTGGCATCCTTATCATGCAAATGTTGGCACACTTGAAGTTGTCCCAGAGACTACTTACAATATTCTCATTTTTTTGGATTCTTTTTTTTTTTTTTTTGCTGTTCTGATTGGGTGTTTTCTGCATCTTTATATTCTAAATCAATGGTTTCCTTCTTACCTTTATCTACTCTACTATTGATTCCCTGTAAATTATTTTTTATTTCAGTTAGTGCATCCTTCATTTCTGCCTGGTCCTTTTTTATGTTGTTGTTTTCATTAAGTTCCTTGAGGTTTCCTTAAGTTCCTTGAAGGTCTTACTAAACCCCTTGGATGTCTCACCTTGTTCCTCGAGCAACCTTATAACCTGTGTTTTGAACTCTGCATCTGATTGCTTATCTCCATTTTGTTTAGTTCTTTTCCTGGAGTTTTATTCTTTTCTTTCATTTGGGATATGTTTCTTTGTCTCCTCATTTTGTCTGCTTCCCTGTGATTGTTTCTGTGTATTAGGTAGAGTTGCTATGTCTCCTAGGCTTCATAGGGTAGCCTATTGTTGTAGGTGTCCTGTAGGATCCAGTGGCACAGCCTCCCTGATCACCCCAGCTGGGCCCTTGAGGTGCACCCTTGGTGTGGACTGTACACCCTTTTGTTGTAATTGAGTCTTGATTGCTGTTGGCACATCAATGGGAGGGATTTACTCAGGCTGATCAGCTGCAAGGACTGGCTGTGCTCACTGACCACTGGTCTGTGACTATCTGGGAGGATCAGCTGTGTAGGAGCCTACCATACAGAGTAAGACTTACTTCATCAGGGCTCTGGTACCCACTGAGTTCACTCATTGAGTGTGTCACTTGTGGAGGTGGTTGGGTGGTGGTGTTTCAATGTGGTATGAAGCTGTCCACTGGGTGTGCTGTCTCTGGCATAAGCTACCAAGTGATCTACAAATGGCTGCTTCTTGTGCTGGGCTTGGAGGTGTCCAGGAAGCCAAGTTGTGAACCAAGGCAAGTGCCAGGCCTGGGGCCACTTAATGAGAGGTCTGGGGCTCGCTGAGACCAGATGCTGCTTGTTTGAAAGATTTTAGGAAACTCTGAAGCAGGATCCAAGACAGGCCAATCCTATGATAAAGTGTTTGGAAACAGCTTGGGTGGGCCCAAAAGTTGGGTGGGGCAGGGCCTCAGGGAGTCACCAGGGCAGGGCCAAAAGTG